TTAGGAAAACCAAAGTAACACACATTTCTTTATAAACTTATATACTTGGGTTTATATATTTAATATACTTTTACCCAATTAAATCAAGATACATTTGAATTTTAATATGTTAATAATATTAATGACAAGAATTTGTTACAAATTAAATAATATATAAAAGATACATATGTATTGATTTAATTGGAAACAAAATATTTTAAATATATAAGGCTAACTATATAATTTTTTCCTAATTGATTTTCCTAGTTTATTGAATAATATTAAGGATTAAATGACAATTCAGACCTAAAATATAGGCCCAAGGGCGATTTATACTCAGCAAAAACCAGAAGGATATTTTATGTCTGCGTTCTTACTCTAGCTTTGATGCAAGTGAAGATTGACATTGTTCACCAGGACAAGATGTGAGCCCGTGTGTGTTTTGGTTCATGGAACAAGAACATATTTGTCAAATATAGAATATATGCAGATGAAGCGCAATTATATATTAGCCAGTTAATCACATGACTTATTAGATTAAAAGATAGCAAACTGTAAAATGGAGCATCCAAATCTATCTATACAACTGGAAGTTCCCGTCCTGATTCTTAATTATTTTCCAAACTATAAGAAAAATCTGAAGAGTCAATAATAACCCTGTCTTTGGAAATTGAACAGAAAACCATAATCAACATCAGCAGCGCTTGCTCCTGAATCTGAGTACATTGTCACTTCTCATTGTCACTTCTCTCTATCCATGATTTCTTCGCACTGAGAATGACAGCATCAAAACTGGGGAATTCCGGTTAAAGAGCTAAATGCACAACTTATGGTGAATCATAAAGAAAAAAACCCAGAGAGAATAGCAGCTAGCAGCTTATTATTTACCCTTTATTTGCTAACCTCGAGAAACCAACCTTGCGCCGGAGAGTTCTACGATGTTGGTGTGCAGAAAATAGCATAAAGGATTCGATGGATGACAACGGGAAAACCTTGACTCTTTGAGGAGGGTGGTGCAGGAAAAATGAAACCGAGAGAAATTAAATATCCCCATGCTAGTATGCCTAGCGAAATCGAGATGGGGGGGGGGGGAATTGTAATAGCCTAATTTAATCTAGGAATGTAATTGTGCCTGATCGTTATTGAATTTGTAAATTAAGAATGACCAGGGTCAATTAATATTTGATTTAAATAACATAAACAATTCTCATTAACTATATTTAAATCAATAAGTTCGAACTCAAAGCCTTTATAAACTAAAAATCATCTTTTCTAACAAATTTTAACTTTTACATGCAAGAAAATGGGAGGGAAGTGAAGGACTTAGGAAACTTACATCTAGTGTTAAGAAGCTTTAAAATACTCCAAATGTTTAAATCCTCTAAGCCTTAACAGAGCTCCTTTGATTTTCTCCTTCTTTCTCGTTCGAACTCTCTTTCTTTCCTTTGGTTTTCATATCAAACTTGTGTCTGATAAACTTAAAAATCTAATCAAGCACTATCACATTCACCATGCATTGCAAATGTGATATAGAGAATCCTTCCTCACTTTCTGGTGGCTCGTGTATCACGGCATGCCATGCACGCGCTATAGCATATGGCATAAAGTCATTCTCTTTATCTCTTTCTCACTTTTTGACATTCGGGTGACTCAACTTTGCCCTGGACTCAATCTTAAGGTTGATATCACAATCTAAAGTATCCATTAACTCTCTATAACCACACACCACAATAAACTATTTAATAATCCCATTTAATTTAGCTAATTTGGGTTAAATTTGTTAGGATGTTACATTTATTAGGAAAATTGTAGAATTGTGAATATGTGTTTTGAAATATTTTTGCCAAGTGGAATGTTACTTATTGTAATAATGTTGGAAGTGAGAAAATTTACGACCGTTGTGAAGTTGTATATCTATGCATTATTGATATTTAATTGTTGACTTTTGTGAGAGATGTTACGAAATTTGTTGTGTTGTATGTTGTGCCACATGGTACACTCCTGTTGAAGGCCAAATGGGTGACTTGTATGAGTTTGAGCTAGTTTATTTTTAACTTAATAATTTAGCACCAAGTGAGAGTTACGACTCAAGAACAATTGAGAGAAATAAAGATGATTGTTTGTCGTGCAATATAATACCTCTTGTATCTGTTTAAATTTATTATTTTCCCCACTTAACAAGCTCACATACAATTATTTGTATACATTATCATAAATTGATATTGGTTATTACGAATTTTGAGTTTCATTCTTGTGGCTAATAATTTTTAGAAGAAGAGCCATGTGTGGCGCACAAAGAAGCCCTTGAGGCTTAGTGATATAGATCCACTTTCTCTTTAGGGTATATATTTTGGTTTATCATTTTAATGATGTAATATTATCAATGCTAAGGCTTCTGTTTATTTGATAGTTATGTGAATTCATTATGGTGATCACACCCTTCAAACTATTACTATTATAGATGATTGTAACCATGAATTATGATTTATTTTGGACAGTTTAAAATGGGCATGATCACAAGGTCATATGTTTGGCTTGCTTTGGAAATGATTAAATTATTTGTTTTGATAGTTGGCTTTGGTTTGCACTTATTGAGAGTATAAGTTTAGAAAAAAATGATATTTTAGCCTATTGGCATGTGGGAGGATAAAATTTGATTTAGATATATTATACTGTGTGTTGGTATATCTCACTCCACACAACATAATTAATCAATAAAACTCATAGTAATCAAGGGATTAATTCAAAAAGAAAATTACCAAGTTTAATTTAAAATTAAGGGATCTCAAGTTTTCATAATCAAAATAAGTTTAAAACATTCATAAACTTTTATATCAGAGTAAAAATAAATTACGAAAGCATAAGACACCTCTGAGGAGTGAAATAAGTTAAAAATAGTAAAAAAATAACTCATGTGCTATGAAATCACTCCTCAACCCCATTTCACCAAAAACAGAAGGAGGAGGCATTTATCATTTCATTGCAATCAACCTAAATAAAACATGTTTATACATTATTTCTACACTTGCACTAGCATTTTGGCCCTATCAATATATATATATATATATATCATACACAAACATTCAGGACCCAAAATATAACTCAAATATTTGCAATAACAAAATAGTATAAGTATGATGGTATGCAACCTAGAATTGACAATCATATACTATTATACAAAATAAATCTACGATAGAGGCATACAATAAAAAGATGCTAATTTCTAGCCTCTTGGGCCCTCTCCTTCTTTGCACCAGAGCTAGAGCCTAAAAAGTGTTAAAGAAGAGGGGTGAGTCTAGCCACTCAGTAACTAAGGTAAAACCTACCCTATACAATTATATATCAATTATAGACCAAGTACATGCATATGAAACCAAATACTTAAAACATATTTTAACACATAACATGACTTATTAATCCAGTTAGCACATTTTATCTCCCACATGCTGGGTACATAATCACAAGATACTTAAACAAGTGACTATAACCCAATTTATCACACGACTTGCCACAATTTAAAACATATGACACGTCCTAAGTTTACATAGGAAATGATCAACTAACTTTATACCCTCCTTATTTTCTCAGACAAAACCGTGAGTTATAACACTGAATAAGGCTCCATCTGTGTGATTAGACTACTCAAACTCACCAATTGTGAGGTGTGACCTGACCAAAGATCACATGACTCACTCTCAGACCATGACTTTCCATACTCTCAAATCTTTGTTGTGTCTCATACCTTAACCTATTGCCCTTGTTGAATTAATGGAGAAAGCTAGGTTTTAATCCCTTAAACAAACTATGGGATAGTCCCTTACAAAAATTATAGAACAAGGCTATACTCCCATGCACCAAAGGAAGCTTAAATACCCTACGGATTTTCTTTTCTCCCAATCCCTAGGCAAACTCCCGCTCACTGATCATGTCATAAACGATGCTCACTATTTTTATATTTTCATTTACTCATTATTAGGGTCAACATATTAGGCTCACGATCGTGCGTTACCTAAGTGAGCATTAATTTCTTATTTTCATTAATATCACATATGGACACCCTTTTCTATCATAATTTCTCATCTTCATGAAATCCATTATCAACTACTCATTTAAAATACATTACAAATATGCAACTCATCTCAAATATCACTTTTGTAACTTAAAACTCATTTTGACATCTCTCTGGCATGTTTAACACATATCAAAGTGATTTGATAAATGTAAGGTTTCATTGCATGATGCATTCATTCACAAGTCACAATTTGCATATTAAACACATAATTAACATCCCATTACAATTAACACATAACTATCCAAAGTAGGATTCCCTGATTACTTCAAACCTCTGAAAGGTCAAAGATTTATCCCTTAATATAATGGCTTCCAAGCTTGAATTCCTAAGTCAAATAGGTGTTCAAGAGCTTAATCCACAATAAATCAAGTTGATCTCCATTAATATTGCCAAACTCAAGCATTCAACTCTCATTGCTCCACTTCTAACTTACCTAATGCCCACATTGTGCACATTTAGGCTTACTCATAGGGTTTATTATCCATCTTTAGTTCCCAATAACATTAATGAGCTATTAGATTCCCATTAATGACATCACTCTCTTTCTAACACCCGCATTACTAAAATTTCAAATATTATAGTACCCAACAACCCAAGACACCCAAACTTCATTACGCCTAAGTTTAGATACTTCAATCTACTCTTATTAACTCTATTTGAGTTAATAGATTTGGACCATAATTGATATAGATTGAAAATTATCTTTCACTATCAACCCTAATCATAAACTCATAATTATGGAAGAGATGAGGAGATTAATGAGTGTGATACTTACCTTGGATGTTTATTGTAACACCCTCAAATTTACAGACCGATTTTTCACAAGTTATTAATTCAACAAATCCTTTTTTTTTATTTTTTTTTTCATTGAACCCTTATCATGGTAGAAAAATTTCTACCATGATACATCCAAGACAATATACCACAGGTCTTAAAATATCTAAAAAAAACAATTAGAACCATGAGGGACAGACATAATCCTCATGGTCATATAAATACTTTTAATAAAAAGGATTAGAGTTTACATGCTCCACAAAGAAGATATGTCCTAAGTTGGCACAAGATACATTGTATAATCCAAAATAAGAGGCAACGTAAAAGATGGTGTCTCATACACCATAATTACACCTCTGGTGCTTTCTCGGCCGGACTCGCTCCTGTAAAAATATTAACCACGGGGAATGAGACTTAAAAGTCCCAGTAACCAAAAATTAATATGTAATGATGCATGCGGATGTAACTAATCATGCGATTGCTAAGTGGGCACACAAAACATTTAACCGAACAATATTTTCAAACAAACCGAACAAGTATTTAATTGCATGACTGCACCTTATATCCTCCTTTCACCATGCTCGGACGCCAAATCACCCGGCCAAAGGTGAGTTGGACCAAGCGACACGCCACTCATTGGGTCCAATGAGGGCTTACCACGTGGTAATAATTAACCGAACAGAAATTCCCATTAACACCATACATTAAAATACCCTGACAAGTCATGCATCATTCAAATATCCAAACAGAAATATATCCGAACAATAATATCTCATCATGATAAACAAAAATAAATTTTTAACCCACTTGGCAATAATTTCAAACAAGTATATACAGTATTTATTTTCAATAATTCATAATTTTTCCAAACAACAAAACAACACATAACCATTCACAAACACACTCATCACAACACATTAATAATGGTTACCTTGTGTCTTGAATAACAAGTTCCCCTTCACAACTCCTTTTTCACCACTATCTTTGTCAATATAATCTACATAATTATTTCACAATACTATATATTAATTTTACATTAAAATAAATAACTCTAATTTAAAGAGTTAGAAAGTCTTAGATCTATAGTCCATATTAACACTAATTTAAGATTTATGCCTCATTTAACTTCCCAAATTCTTTTCTAAAATTCTCGTACCCTAATGAACTATTTTTTTTTATCCTCAATTCACTTCTAGTATCACAATTTCATCCTTCTATATTCTAAAAATTCATCCAAAAATAAATTAAATTTTAGAATTATCCTGAAGCCTCAAATCACCTTTCTATAACCTCAAAAATACCTATTCATACTTAAATAAATATTTAATAATCATAGGTTTATCCCTACGTCTCAGATTCCACATAAATTCAACCATATAGATCTAGATTTTAACTCAAAAATTCTTAAACATGAGTTTCAACCTCAAAAAAATATTCTATAATATTTTTATATCCTAAGAATTTTAACCTATATTTTTAATCCATCATATCATCAGATTAACTATCCTATAGAAAAATCCTAATCAAAATATTTACTCTATCCTACAAAATAATCATATCACTAGAAAGCTAATATTATTTAGAAAATAACTATAAAATTAATTTTGTAATTAAATAAATTTTTAAATGCTAATCTAAACAGGAAAGTTAGAACATACCTGAAGAAAAAGAAAATAATCCCCCCTTGCGAGAAAACGCCGAGCAACGTGAGAGGAAGAGAGAAAAATAATATAAAAATGGGATTGTGAGTCCCAAAATTATATTAAAAAAAACTATAGGTTTGAATTTAATTATTCAAACCTTTGGGCCAAAAGTTGCAATTTTCTCTAAATTGCATCTTAGCCTCTCATGCTTCCTAATGCACACACCCCCTCCTTTTTATACATGAAGGCACCTCTTCTCTTCCCTCATCTAACCAATGTGGGACTTAGAAACAACAACCTTCCACCCCCTTTTTTTTGTTCCTTCTACCTTCTCTTTTTTTAACACACACATAAAAAAAAATTATTTATGTATTATATCTTAACTAAATATTGCTTATGTGGTTTTAAATTTAAATTTTTAAATTCATAATTAAATACCTAACCATAATATTATTTCTAAATAACCTCAAATAATATAAATTCCTATTATTATCATTTTTTCTCAAAACCTAAATTCCACAATTTCTTTATTATATAAAAAATCAGGATGTTACAATTCTCCCCTCCTTTTAGAAATTTTGTCCTCAAAATTTAATAGATAAGCATAGAAACTATGTACCTAAGCAAATAAATGTGGATAATCTCGCCTCATACTCTCCTCGGTTTCCCAAGTAGCATCACCTAGGGCTCCACCCTTCCAAATCACCTTCACGAGTCGGATGGTCTTATTGCGTAGTTGTTTGTCCTTAAAGTCCTCAATTCGCTCCGGTTCGGATCTAAAGGTCAAATTCTCCCTCAATTCTACTTCTTCAGGTTCAATAACATGGGAGGGATCCGGGTTGTACTTCTTCAACTGTGATACGTGAAACACATTATGGATACCTGCAATCTGTGGAGGTAATGCAACTCTATATGCAGCAGATCCAATTCGCTCCAAGATCTCATACGGGCCCATAAATCTAGGTGTCAACTTCTTTGCCTTAATGGATCTACCAATGCCTGTCACGGAGAAACCTTCAAAAATACATGATCTCCTACTTCAAACTCTAACGGCCGTCTCCTCTTATCAGCATAGCTCTTCTGTCGGCTCTGAGCTGTTAGCAATTTTTGCTTAATCATTGCAATCTTCTGGGTGGTCTGCTCTACAATTTCTGGACCAATGATACTCCTCTCACTTAATTCTGTCCAACACAAAGGCGATCTACACTTCCTTCCATACAAGGCCTCATAAGGCGCCATCCCAATACTAGAATGATAGCTGTTATTATAAGCAAATTCAGCTAATGGCAAATGATTATCCCAACTACCTGGTAGTTCAATGGCACAAGCTCTCAACATGTCCTCCAAAGTCTGGATCGTCCTCTCTGTTTGTCCATCTGTTTGGGGGTGGTATGCGGTGCTAAAACTCAGTCTGGTACCCATAGCCTTCTGTAGCGCACCCCAAAAGTTTGAAGTGAACCTTGGGTCACGATCTGACACAATTCTAGAGGGTATACCATGAAGTCTAACTATCTCCTTAATGTATATCTCAGCAAATTTCTCTAATGTAGAGGTAAACTTGATCGCCAAAAAGTGAGCTGATTTGGTGAGTCGGTCTACTATCACCCAAATAGCATCCTTACTCGAGGGTGTTCTTGGCAGTCCAGTGATGAAATCCATAGAAATATCATCCCATTTCCACTTTGGAATATCTAACGGTTGCAGTGTTCCAGCTGGCTTCTGATGTTCTATCTTTATCTTCTGACACGTTAAACATCTAGAAACAAATTCAGTTACATCTTTCTTCATTCCTGGCCACCACCAACCTCGCTTCAAATCATGGTACATTTTAGTTATACCGGGATGAATTGTATATTTGCTCCTATGAGCTTCTTCTAAAAGGATATTCCTCAATCTTGGATCATTAGGTACACAAACTCTACCTTTATACTTCATCACTGTGTCCTCAGAGATGGTAAAATTTGGGGCCTTACCTACCACTATCTCCTTCCTTATATTCCTTAAGTAGTCATCACTCTGCTGTGAGACTCTGAGATCTTCCCAGAATTTGCTCTCAAAGTCTGCTACCTGGAGTGCGGCCATTTGATGTTCAATCACATCTACTGGAACATCATGAAAACTGTTCCATAAATGATATTCATGAACCATCAAATGTGCAGCATGAATAGTCTTTCTACTTAAGGCATCAGCTACCACGTTAGCCTTACCCGGATGGTAATGTAATTCAAAGTCATAATCCTTTAGAAATTCCATCCATCGTCGCTGCCTCATATTAAGCTCTTTTTGATCAAATAAATACTTCAGGCTCTTATGGTCACTGAAGATTTGAAACTTAGATCCATACAAGTAGTGTCTCCATATCTTCAGAGCAAACACAACTGCAGCTAACTCCAAATCATGAGTAGGGTAATTTTCCTCGTGTGGTCTCAACTGTCTGGAGGAATAGGCAACCACTCGGTCATTTTGCATCAAAACACATCCTAAACCCTTTAAAGAAGCATCAGTGTACAGAGTGTACGGCACCACAGGGTCAGGAATAGTCAATACTGGAGTAGTGGTTAACCTCTTTTTCAATTCTTGGAAAGCAGCTTCACATTTGTCAGTCCAAATAAATGGGGCATCCTTCTTAGTCAGCTTAGTTAAGGGCATCGCAATTTGCGAAAATCCCTTAATAAAGCGACGATAATAACCTGCTAAACCTAAAAAGCTTCGTATCTCTGTAACAGATTTTGGCTGTTCCCACTTCATCACTGCATCAATCTTGCTAGGATCCACCGCAACTCCGTCTCTGGACACAACATGGCCCAAAAACTTTACTTCTTGGAGCCAAAATTCACACTTGTTAATTTGGCATAAAGCTTATGTTCCCTCAAAACTTGCAAGACGATTCTTAAATGTTCACCATGAGCCTCCTCATCCTTTGAATAAATAAGAATGTCATCAATAAACACTACTACAAACTTATCTAAATAGGGTCGAAAGATCCTATTCATGTAATCCATGAATACCGCAGGAGCATTCGTAAGTCCAAACGGCATCACCATGAATTCATAATGCCCATATCTCGTCCGAAATGCTGTCTTAGGTATATCCTCTGCTCTCACTCTCAATTGGTGGTACCCTGACCTTAAGTCAATCTTTGAGAAAACTGCGGATCCCACAAGCTGATCCAGCAAATCATCGATTCTCGGAAGTGGATATTTGTTCTTGATGGTTACTTTGTTCAATTGTCTATAATCAATGCACAATCGGAGGCTTCCGTCCTTCTTCTTTACAAAAAGGACTGGAGATCCCCAAGGTGAAACACTCGGTCTGATGAAACCCTTCTCAAGTAGCTCTTCAATTTGCTTTTTCAGTTCCGCTAACTCTGAAGGGGACATCCGATAAGGAGCCTTAGAAATTGGCCCTGTACCGGGTACCAATTCAATTGAGAACTCTACCTCGCGCTTTGGGGGTAAACCGGAGACTTCGTCTGGAAATACATCCGCAAATTCTTTGACAATTGGGATATTCTTCACGCCTTCATCAATCTCAGCTTGGATAGAGAAGAAAACCATGTAGGCCTGGCAACCCTTCTTCATACATCTATCAACTTGCGCCGCCGACAAGAAAACATGATCTTGAGTCTCGACTGGGGTCACCGACAAAGAAGATAAAGACACACTCCTCTCTCTACAATCTAGGATAGCACCATTTGCAGCCATCCAATTCATTCCCACAATTACATCCATACCTCTCAGTGGTAGGATAATTAAGTCCATAGTTGTTTTCCTATTTTTAAACTCGACTACTAGGTTAAGGCATGCCTTAGCGGTCCTCACAGATTCTCCCGCAGGAGTAGACACATTCATATCAAAAGGTAAAATACACACAGGCAAATCAAGGTTCTTTACACAAGTTTCAGAAATAAAAGAGTGTGTAGCACCCGAATCAAATAGTGCAACAATATCATGATGAAGGATTTTGATGTTACCTCTAATGGCATCTGGGGAGTTCATGGTGTCCTGAGTAAGAGCAAACACACGGCCAGAGACAGTAGGATGTTGGGAAGGGTTCTTCATATTTGAGCCCTGGTTGTCCCCACAAAACTTTGCAATGTGACCGGGTTTCCCACAAATGTAACAGACCCAGCACTGTCCGAAATGACGACGCCCGCATTTAGTGCACTGTTGAGAGCTCGCTGTACTCGGGGCAGGGGTAGATACTGTTGGGCTCCTCTGTGACCCGTGATAACTACTATGATAGCTCCTCTGTCCTTGGCCCCTTTGAAATGGACCCTTCTGCCTTCCTTGGTTCCATGAGCTACTCGAACCCTGATGGTTTTTTTCATAATGCCTCCGGTGGGTCGAGGGTAGGTTGGGGGTCTACTATATGAATAACCCCTCTTCTCTCTCTCAACCTCCTTCTTACTGCGAGCTACTACTTGTAGTTTTATGCACATTTCATCATAATCTCGGATATCTAGATGAGCCAATTGTTCCCTCAATTCTGGTCTAGCCTTCTCCAATAAGCGCTTAGCCTTCCATTCGGAATCATCCCTATACTGCAGGTACGTGGAGTATCTAGATAACTCCTGAAACTTAGCAATGAATGTGTCCTCATCGAGGTTCCCTTGCTTAAAGGCATGGAATTCCGCTTCCTTCTCAGACCTTAACTCTGATGGAAAGTAATGCCTGAATAATTTTTCCTTGAATTCCTCCCAGGTGAGTGTAGAATCATCCCTGGGCCCTGCTGTCTCCCACCAATCTCTTGCTCCTTTCACTAGGAGCACTAATGCTACTTGTACTTTTTGATTGCTGGTGCATGTGACTACTCGAAAGATGGATTCGAGTCTCTTCACCCATTCCTCTACCACGGATCAAACGTAGGAGGGTTAAACTTCCTAACAGTTTCCCACACATCAGTAATGGTCGGTGGGGCTCTCTGTTCCTCCTGCCTAATTTCCTTCCTTCTAGACTCATGATCTCTCGGAGTGGCAGGATGTGAGGAACTGCCTTCCCCCACATGACTCTCAACATGAGCCCTATCTCCATTTTCAGTTACCTTTTGCCTCTTTAGCTCCGTCAACTCTTGTTCGTATCCTTGAACCTTGTCTGTTAATGTTTTTACAAGCATTCTTAATTCCGCCAAGTCAGGCTCCTCATTTGGCAGTGGCGGTGGCAGGTGCTCATGTTGGAATCCTGAGTTACCACGAGTAACAGGCATTTTCTCTCCCCTCCTAAAGGATACAAGATATAAATAATAAAATTAGCCTAGCTATATAATGGCCATACAATGAGAAGCACCATAACAATGTATATTGCCAACCGACTATATGCAATGCACCACACATAATAAATACATATTAAATTCACACAAGTAATAGTTTCAAACAAAAGTTTAAATAAGTATTACTAAAATAGAGGCTCGAAACATGATGCTCTGATACCAATATGTACACCCTCAAATTTACAGACCGATTTTTCACAAGTTATTAATTCAACAAATCCTTTTTTTTTATTTTTTTTTCATTGAACCCTTATCATGGTAGAAAAATTTCTACCACGATACATCCAAGACAATATACCACGGGTCTTAAAATATCTAAAAAACAATTAGAACCATGAGGGACAGACATAATCTCTGGTCATATAAATACTTTTAATAAAAAGGATTAGAGTTTACATGCTCACAAAGAAGATATGTCCTAAGTTGGCACAAGATACATTGTATAATCCAAAATAAGAGGCAACGTAAAAGATGGTGTCTCATACACCATAATTACACCTCTGGTGCTTTCTCGGCCGGACTCGCTCCTGTAAAAATATTAACCACGGGGAATGAGACTTAAAAGTCCCAGTAACCAAAAATTAATATGTAATGATGCATGCGGATGTAACTAATCATGCGATTGCTAAGTGGGCACACAAAACATTTAACCGAACAATATTTTCAAACAAACCGAACAAGTATTTAATTGCATGACTGCACCTTATATCCTCCTTTCACCATGCTCGGACGCCAAATCACCCGGCCAAAGGTGAGTTGGACCAAGCGACACGCCACTCATTGGGTCCAATGAGGGCTTACCACGTGGTAATAATTAACCGAACAGAAATTCCCATTAACACCATACATTAAAATACCCTGACAAGTCATGCATCATTCAAATATCCAAACAGAAATATATCCGAACAATAATATCTCATCATGATAAACAAAAATAAATTTTTAACCCACTTGGCAATAATTTCAAACAAGTATATAACAGTATTTATTTTCAATAATTCATAATTTTTCCAAACAACAAAACAACACATAACCATTCACAAACACACTCATCACAACACATTAATAATGGTTACCTTGTGTCTTGAATAACAAGTTCCCCTTCACAACTCCTTTTTCACCACTATCTTTGTCAATATAATCTACATAATTATTTCACAATACTATATATTAATTTTACATTAAAATAAATAACTCTAATTTAAAGAGTTAGAAAGTCTTAGATCTATAGTCCATATTAACACTAATTTAAGATTTATGCCTCATTTAACTTCAAATTCTTTTCTAAAATTCTCGTACCCTAATGAACTATTTTTTTTTATCCTCAATTCACTTCTAGTATCACAATTTCATCCTTCTATATTCTAAAAATTCATCCAAAAATAAATTAAATTTTTAGAATTATCCTGAAGCCTCAAATCACCTTTCTATAACCTCAAAAATACCTATTCATACTTAAATAAATATTTAATAATCATAGGTTTATCCCTACGTCTCAGATTCCACATAAATTCAACCATATAGATCTAGATTTTAACTCAAAAATTCTTAAACATGAGTTTCAACCTTAAAAAAATATTCTATAATATTTTTATATCCTAAGAATTTTAACCTATATTTTTAATCCATCATATCATCAGATTAACTATCCTATAGAAAAATCCTAATCAAAATATTTACTCTATCCTACAAAATAATCATATCACTAGAAAGCTAATATTATTTAGAAAATAACTATAAAATTAATTTTGTAATTAAATAAATTTTTAAATGCTAATCTAAACAGGAAAGTTAGAACATACCTGAAGAAAAAGAAAATAATCCCCCCTTGCGAGAAAACGCCGAGCAACGTGAGAGGAAGAGAGAAAAATAATATAAAAATGGGATTGTGAGTCCCAAAATTATATTAAAAAAAACTATAGGTTTGAATTTAATTATTCAAACCTTTGGGCCAAAAGTTGCAATTTTCTCTAAATTGCATCTTAGCCTCTCATGCTTCCTAATGCACACACCCCCTCCTTTTTATACATGAGGGCACCTCTTCTCTTCCCTCATCTAACCAATGTGGGACTTAGAAACAACAACCTTCCACCCCCTTTTTTTTTGTTCCTTCTACCTTCTCTTTTTTTTAACACATACATAAAAAAAAATTATTTATGTATTATATCTTAACTAAATATTTCTTATGTGATTTTAAATTTAAATTTTTAAATTCATAATTAAATACCTAACCATAATATTATTTCTAAATAACCTCAAATAATATAAATTCCTATTATTATCATTTTTTTCTCAAAACCTAAATTCCACAATTTCTTTATTATATAAAAAATCAGGATGTTACATTTATAGCCTCTAAAATGCTTCCAATGTTGTCTAAGAGTGAACCCTAGCAGAGCTTGATTTGTCCTCTTCGTTTTCTTCTTCTTTTTTTCTCCTTTTCTGTCTCAACTCGTAATTGATAAGCTACAAAAAATGGCCATACGCCATAATGCATGGCATAGAGTGGTCCTTATTTCACATTTGAAGTGTCTGTGTGCCACGGTGGATGCTCTCCATGCCACGGCATGTGGCACAGCAACATCAACTCTTTATTTTTTGGTCCTTTTGATGCTCGGGTGGCTCGACTTGATACTGAACCCATATTTAGGGCTAAAATATAATCAAATATGATTATTAAACCTCCCTAGTTACACACCACTATAATTTACTCAATTATCCTAATTAGTTTTAGTTAATTAGGGGATTAAAAAATGAGTTGTTACATTGTGTAATCAAAGCCAAATGTTAGATGATAGTATATTAAGTTTCTTTTCTATGAATTGTGTTGGGTGGTTATAATCCAACTATAGTTCTTTTTGGGTTTAAATAGCAGAAGTAGTAGTTATATGTTATAAGGAATATTTGTGAAATGGTCAAAAGATTTGTTGAAATACATGATGGCTTTAAATTTTCTATTTTATTTTGTTTGTTATAGTTTTAGATTATACGGGAGGGTATGAGCTTTTCACACTTATTTTTGTTTATGAATGCTTGGGATCTTAAATTTTGAAAATGATTATTTAATAAGCCAATTTTTTTTTTTTACCATGGTAGTCATTTAAAAAGAAAGATGGTTTCATTTCTTTCTACTATTGTAGTCATTTTTTAAAAGGTAGATTGTTTTTATAAATTATATTTTACTCTTTTCTATCATGGTAGTGCTTTCAAGTTAAAGAATTGTTTTGAGAAGGGGACTGGTTGACTTTTATTCATCATAGTAGACATCTATCTACCATGATTAGGCTAATTATTTTGGAAAAATAATTGAGAGCATTGTAAGAATCTAGCAGAGAAAGAGGGAGATATTAACAATATTAACTTCAAATTAATGGTAGGGGCCAAATTGCTACAAGTTTAATTATTCAAGGTTTAAAATGCACCAGATATGAGTTTAGAGTTCAAATTGCTTCTGGGCTTATAATTTATGGTTCAAATTGTTATTTAATCCTAATATTAATTAGTGGGTAAGACATATATATTTAGCCGTATATATTTAATATATTTTTATCTAAGCAAATCAAGACAAGGGCATTTTAGTGTATTAATAATATTAATATCAAGAGTTTGTTATAGAATGAATAATTTATAGAAAATTCACATGTTTTGATTTAATTAAAAACAAATATCTTAAATATATATGACTAAATATATGAATTGTTGTTTTAATCAGTCAACTAGCTCTTACATTTATAATAGGAGGGAGTATTGCTTGAATGTTTTAGGCGCGCAAAATGATCTGTTTTCTAATTTTATCGATTTTTTTCCCCTTATCAAGAGGAAAAATTGTTGGGAGAGGTACGAGCTACAATATTCTATATTATGTGTGCCAAGCAAGGATGACTCCAGAAACCAATACATGTGAGGGCAAACATTGAAAACTAATTAAAATATGAGGGGCAAAACACTAATTTTTACAGTTTTTTTATAAGTAAAATAAAAAATTTCAAAAAAAAATTCAAGAGAGCTATGAATTTTTTTGGGGATTTTTTTTTAGGGGGGGTGGTCATTTGGAACGTCCCTAGTGCCAAGTGATATATTCTACGGTTTATTCCCTTCAATATATATATATATATATATATTCTATGGTTTATAATAAAAGGGTAACTGGAGGACTTTCGAGGTATGCTGCAGAGGAGGGTGACTGTTTTGGTTCTCGAAAAATGCTGACACGTAAAATATTTGCCAATCCTTTCTATGAACATGCCTTGTGCAGTTGTACTACGAGACGTGATGTACATCATAAGCATCCATCGCGCAACAACTTGGTAGGGAAAGAATTTAATATATTTAATAAAGATTTTTAACAAGTAAATATTCATAAATTAATTAATAAAGTTATTTTTTTAAAAAAAATCTAATTAAAAAAGGTTATTGTTTTGAAAAGCATTAGATCTGTCCGAAATTCTTATAATCTACTCCCACTGTCCTAAATTATAAAATATTTTTTAAAAAATTTTTTCATCTTAAAATATAAAATATTTTGGATAGATTAAAATTTTATTAAATGCACCAATTTTAATATTATCTTTTCTCTCTCTATAATTAATTTTCATCTATTCTCTTTTTAATGTATTAAATGATGGGTATTTTAAAAAGTTTATATTTTTATTTTGGAAAGATAAAGTTGTTAAATATATTTAATAATATTTATTGATATGTGAGATTTTATTTAAAAGTGTCTTATAATTTAAGATTCAGGAAGTACTAAACTTTTTCTGTGATCCTTCGGTAATATTCTCTCAATTTTTTTTAATGCCATAATTGACGAAAATGCCAAATTAATACTTCAACACATGGTAAAAGATTAGAGAAATTTACTTCAAGTCAAAATTATTTATTATGAATTTTTTATCATTTTTGGATGTTGTCTTATTGACAGTAATTTTATTGGATATAAAGTCATGCATTAAATATAAATATCTTTTTAAACAAAGATTTGAATTTTGATCATTACATTGTGAGTAGTTAATCTTTTTCCAAAAACCCAAGGTCTAACCCTGTTGAATTTTCACATAAGTTTACGTACATACGTACGTACGTATAAAATTAAATTTCAAAAAATGTAGGAAACTGTTTTAACTTAAAAAAAAAAAAACTTTTATCGCGAATTAAATGCCTGCAATTTTTTCTGCATTAGCCTAATAATTAATCATTACCCAACTCATTAGCACCTGATTATTCTTAATTGATCTCTAGTCCATTAAGATTTTCAAGGACCCATTTGTTTAAGATTAAAAAATAAGTAATTTTTAAATAGTTTAAATATTTTATAAAAATAAATTTATTTTGTAAATATTTTATAAAAAACAGACATTATTTTATGTTTAGTTACAATAATAAAAAATAATTATTAGTTAATTATTTTTAAATTGTATGATATCTTTTTTTATTTTTATTTTATAAAAATAAATTATTATTATATTATTTTAAATTTTTATGGTATATTTGCATATCCCATCTCTTTAAAACCCTCTCTCTCATCTATCATATTAGATTATATTCAAAAGTTAATCAAAATAGTTTATTAAAATAATCAATTTTTAATTTTGATTATTTTCAAAAATTTAAACAAATATTATAAAAAATCATAAAATTATTTTTTAAAAAAAATAAGTGCTTTTTTTCATAAAATAAGTTAAAATAAACGAGTTCTTATAGTAACCAATTGGCTAAAGCAGATTGTGCCCCGAATATGTATTGCGAACTGGATAGAGAAATTACCAACCAAGAAAACAGTAATGTGCTCTGAAGCCGCTGGAGCCGTCGTGGGCAGTAAATTAATAGAGATAAATATCTAAATTTTCCTGTCATAGTTTTAAAATCAGAACACAACGCACGATCAATTTTCATTCAATTTGACAATCTATTTATTTTCATATACATGATATTTTGGCAAAACCGAGCTTCAAGTGATGTGGTGGACCAAGCCATTGTGTTTTGTCTTTTGTGCGACTTACGAAACTTTCTATGGCTGAAGTGACATGACATATAGCGATGCAGGTTTGTGTAGGTGTATTTGCGAAAAGAAACAAAAAAAAAAAGGAACTCAGTCACGAATTTTCAGTGCCACTGCTTGGAGAAAGCAAGGTCTTTCAAGTTTGGCATGTCCCCATATTACAAGATCCTGATTTGCCTTTTTTGTAGCTATATATATATATATAATCTCATTATAATGACTTGTCTCATATTAGATGTTTAAATTATTGGGCTCAATTAGCCCCTCGAAAGGGAAAAAGAGAGCTTGAATTGGACAACCCCGTGGCAATGCAAGAAGACATGTAAGTTTGTTCAATATCACCTCTTAATTACTTCAAGAGCTTAAAGTAATGAATTTATGAATTATTTTACTTTCATACATTTTCTTCATTCCATACTCTATATCCAATGTGATATTTTTCTCTGTTCTCTTATATCAGGCGGCAAATTACTTTCATTTGACTTCTTAACATTAAATGTGAGTAGCAAAAACGTATTCTCATTATTTTGCTTGTTAGATTTCTCACATTAAATATGTTTAAAGATAGTATATTCCACCAAAATAGTTTAAGCCATTTGATTAAATATTTTTTAAACTTATATATTTATAATATATTTTTTAGTCTTTTAAATTTTGGATTTTTTGATGTTCTAATATTGCTCACATTCTATAAAGACCTTGGCTCAATTTGATTGGTGCTTGGGTTGGTGTGCAATATGTAATATTTTTAATCTAGGCTTCTATTGTATATATTTACATAATAACTCTCTATCGTGACAAAACTATGAGCACATTAAATAAGAGAGAAAAGTTTAAATTTATAGGGCCAAGTAGCAATAATAAGGTATGTGTGTATAAACAAGTTCCATATCATACCTCACCAAAACTTTATAATAATATCGTATTCTCTCACCTATATATCTTCGTAAATTAAACTCTCCAATTTGACTTCTCCACTCTTCCACATTAAGTGAAGTTCACATTCCAACAGAAATCACTTT